TGATAAAAACCCTAAAAAAGTATCCCGCGACACGGCTAACTGTACCGTGACATGGGAAGTCCCACCGTCAGACGACAAACTTTCCCGCGACAAGGGAAGTCCCACCGTCAAACGGCAAACTTTCCCGCGACACGGTACATTTTTAGTGTGACGCGGGAAATTTTCAGAAAACGGGAAAGAAAACGCGTTACGGGTTTACGCGGAAAAGACACGGAATGTCCCGTGACACGGCACAGGTACCGTGACACGGAAGTATCCACCGTGACACGGTACAGTACACCGTGTCACGGTATGGGAGACGCGGAAATTACACGGAAACAGCTCCGTGTCACGGGGAATCCCACCGTCAGACGGTGTAAATTCCCGTGACACGGTGGAAAATGCCGTGGCGCGGGAGTTATTTAGGTACGAGGAACGCAAATAGGACACGGAATAGCCCCGCGTCACAGCAAGGGCAACGTGTCACGGGGATTCCCACCGTCAGACGGTGCAATTTCCCGTGACACGGTGGAATTGCACTGTGGGCGGTGATTCCAGGTTTTTACCCGTTTTTAAAACCATCATAACTTTTGATCCGTAACTCGGAATAAGGTATAAAATATATCATTGGAAAGCTTATCAAGTCTACTTTACAACCCAATTCGAATCAAGTCAAAATGATATGTAGATTTTAAGATATGGTTGTTTTAGTGGAAGGGTGTTGATTTTAGGCCGAGTTTAGTGTTTTGCTCATATCTTTTTCATTATAGCTCAGAATTGGGATTATGATATATGGTTGGAAAGATTATTTAAAGGCCTATCCAACACAATTTGGATCAAAATTTTATAGCCATAAAATCAGTTTCTCTCAGTTTTGCGATGTGGACACGAAAAGTGGAAAATAGGTTATGGTTTAGGGAAATGAGCTAGAAATTGGATTGGTTCATGAAATATATTGGATAGAACATGGATTTAAGTACTCCAAATATTAAATACTCAACTCGACCAATAATGGCGGTGAAAGGTGTTCATCAACGGGTTTGGTTTTGGGGAGACATTTTTAGGTGTCTGCAGTATGCCTTTGAGATCGCAGGAAATACTTTTCATAATAAGAATCGAGTAGAGGCCAATACGGGCGAATGTGACTCTATGACTCAATTTGTACCTTCATCCCTGATCCTCCTTTCATGGTTCCGAACCGTATGGATCGGAGTTAGCAATCTCATGGATTATGAATGGGGTGTAACCTTCACGAGTCAATCGTTGTCCCTTATTCGTGGTCGCCTTTTATGATCCGTGAGCTGTTTACAAGTTCCTTAAAAACTTGTTGGCGGCTCCCTACTTTATTTCTCCCTAATCGTATATGTCAAATCCCGCTTAAGCTTCCTAAGAGTGCCAAACATATTCACACATGCTTACGTAGGCGCGCTTCGAATGACGCCTACAATATCTAAGGAGTATGTAGGATCTTAAAATTATTAGTTTACTTCGTTTTTCAATTGTTATAAGAAATTTCTTGGAAGGGATATATTAATGGGAAAAAATCCATAGCTTAAAAGTTCAATAAAGTTGTTGGTTACATATTTTAAATAGCTTTAAATTAAATTTTAGGTATGAGCAAATAAAAGAAATGAGATTAATTTTGTTATTTTAGATTGTTGTTAATTATAAAATTATATTATTGAACATTAAAACATGAAATTTATTAACATAATTGACTCTTAATAATATATAACATTGTTGACATAAGTTGTGTCATTGGTCATGAGCAAATAGTGGTAATTAAAGGTAAACTACAATGAATATAAGGTCATGGGTTCAATTATCAATGCTTACAATTGTTAATTTTTGTTTGAGGAATAATAAATAGTGATCTTTAATAATATGATATGGCGCCACATCAATATAAACTAGTGTGTGGCCCAGACGTTGCTCTGAGGTGCTACTTTATTTAAACTTTGTGAATACATGTATAAAGGTATTTAATATTTATCGTGACTATTAATTTTCTTCTTTTTAGTTAGACCTTGTAATTTATAATTATATACATTAATTTCGTATTTATGACATGGTTGATAATTGACTTAGATGGTTGAATTATCATCCTTTTTATAAGAGGTTGGGTGTTCAAATCTCTTATATAGAGTAATGTTGGTTGATTGGGTAATGTGACATAATGATTAAGGTTGATTGAGTGGTGATGTGATGTAATGAAGGGGTCTTAGGAACTACGTGTCACATAGATAAACATTCTTAGGAATGTCTTTTAGTATATTAAACTAGTTTTTGGCCCAGGCGATGCTCCGGATTATTTTTTGTATATAAAAATTATAACAAAATAAAGTGAAATATATTGGTGGTTTTATAAAAATAATATCATTTGTTAAATATTTTAAATATAATTAAACATCAAAATTCATTATTTGATATGCACCAACATAAATGTTATATTGTATCAATTTGTTTTATTTGTTAAAGGGGTTTATTATTATTATTATTATTATTATTATTATTATTATTATTATTATTATTATTATTATTTTTATTATTATTATTATTATTATTATTATTATTATTATTATTATTATTCAGCTATCATAATAAATTATTCCTTTGAGTAAACATATTTCGTGGTTAAAAATAAAAAACCTTTAAAGTTGCTTTGGATTTTTGGGTTATATATTTTAATAAACTGTAACCTATATGAATTATGGTTGAGTAACTAAAAGAAATGAAATTGATTTTGCAATCAAATTGTTGTTAAAATATACGCATGCATATAAGTTCACAATAAAAATTTTAGAATTTATTTATGAACATGAATAACACTTTTTAATACAATTTTATCATCATAAGATGTCACTGGAGCAGTGGTTAGTTAAAGTTTAATATTAATTAATATGAGGTTATGGGTTCAAATATTAATGCTAATAAATTTTTATGCATGAGAAAACATTACTGTACGATTAGTAATAGTAGGTGACATGACGACACGTGGCAAGATTGGCGACATGTGGCAAGATTACAATCCTTGCCATTGAGTTTTAATATATATATTGATATTGATATTGATATTGATATTGATTGATTGATATTGATATTGATATTGATAATGATATTGATATTGATATATAAAAATATAAGATAAAGCAACACAACACTAATTATGATTGTATTTAAGGACTTGCTTGAAATATTCAAAAGCCTCTATATTATTGCTGCGGAAATTCAAAAGTCTCTAAGTACTACTAACAAAGTAACAAAAAGGCGCCCAACTGAACTTGCCCCACCAAACCGAATGGAAAAAAATCAGTCCAATCTTTGGGTTGAGTAATTTAAAAAACGAGTACTCGGTCTGGTCTCCTTCAGTCCATAACCTTTTAAAAAATGATCTTGGGCGGTTAAATCAATTATTTTTTGTTTAAAATCATAAATTAAAGCCCTTTAATGTTTGACTAGTTTTTGGACTTTTTTTTTTAAAAAAAAAGTTATAGCAAACTAAGTAAAATACAAATGTTGATTAGTTACAATTATTTTGAAATTTGTGGTTTTATAATAAGAAGTACCATTTTATTTATGTATAGTAACTATTATTGAGTAGCGGAATTCATTATTCAATATATATGGTAACTTAAATATTATTTTATATTAGTTCTACCTTATGGGGGTCTATAAAATCCCATTATTCATTATTCAAACAATTCACTCAGCCATGGCCAAGTTTTTGTGGGGTCAAAAGACTTCCAAACTGATGCTCCACTGGAAGAATTGAGCTTATATTATGTGTTTAACGATGTTATGTTCTTCTTGAAGACAATGGTAAAGAATTATTGAAGTACCTAACTCTCTTCTTGAAAGGGTGATGAAGGCAAAGTATTTCCCGAATTACTCTTTTCTTTGAGCTTCGTTAGTAGTTTATCTTGGAGGACTATATTGGGGTCTAGATATTTAATTGAGGATGGAATGATGTGGAGGGTGGGGAATGGTTCCAATTTTGATGTTTGAAGTGACTCGTGGCTTGCGGATCGGATTATTGTGGTTGTTTAGCAACTAGTGAAAGGGTGGCTAAGATTGACAAGGCAAGGTCCAATATCTTATTGACTTCGATACAAAGGACAAGAATGTGAGCTTGATTGAAGAGTATTTCAATGAACGAGATTTCAAAAGCATTCTCTCCATCACTTTGAGCAATATTGAGTTGCAAAATGACATAACGTGGGCTTAATCAATGAATATCGAGCATACAGTTAAAACAACTTATATGTTGGGTAAGTAGAAACGTAACATGGATGATTTTCATAAGCTTTTGTTGATATATGGTCTTTGGATGTCTCTCCAAAAGTATGGCACTTCTTGTGGAGGTTATGCGCAAATACTCTCCTTGTGCGTGATCTTTTACATAGGCGCCACATGGAATCAGTTGGGCGCCCTTGGTGCCAAAGCGTAAGAGAAAGTGTTGAGCTTGCTATACTTGATTTCCTGAAGACCAGAGAGCTTTGGGAAGACTATGGTTGTGCGAGTATGACTAACTAATGTAAGGGTGAAATTTGTGCGATATGGTGGAAAATTGAAGGAGATTGGATGCAATTACGAGACATAAAGGGGCTTTTTTGGCCCGATGCATTTGGGGTGAGCACAATCACAAGGTGTTTGATAATATAGTTACCCCAAATGGTGTCCTCTTTAGAATGTATGCCCATGTTGGTAAAAGAACATGGCAAGTATTTAGCAGCCGCAACAAAAGAGAAAGAAAGTTCGAAAGTTTGGCAGCCTCCCCTTCCCGATTTTATTAAGATTAATACATATTACATATGCTTCTTTGTCAACTGAGGGATGGGAGGGCTTGGGGGGCAATAGCTAGGGATCATGAAGGCCACATTTTGTAGTGCATTCTGCAACACGCATTTGTCGAGCTCACTAGTCACCGCATGGAGCTGGCTCCTAGACTTGGCCACATATATGGGTATGAAAGGGAATCATCCTTGAAACTGACTGCCAACTCCTCGTAAAAAGGCTGAACAAGAGTGTTGTTTTCCTTTCGATTTGACACAGTGCTTGATGACATTTTATAGTATTGCTCGTCTTTTATATCTGTTAGATAGTCTCATATATAAAGAGAGGACAATTTTATAGCCCATCATCTTGCAAAACTTTTTCCGTTTGGCCATGAGCAAGTGTGACATTGCTCCTTATGTATTGATGGATAATTTATCATCATTCATCTATGTAATCCTTTCTCTATTCACCCAAAAAAAAAATAAAAAAAAAATAAAATAAAAATAAAATACGTAGTAGATAAAATGAAGTTTCACCGTTGATAATATTTAGATCTAACTGTTACATTACATGTCGTGCCATTAATCTATATTTTCATTTTTATGTTTTTTTGGCCCCTTTGAAGCTTTTCACTTCTACGCTGCACCTCTCTTTCTCTCTCTCCTCCATTGAAGCGTATTTCGAGTTCTCCATTGAAGCGTATTTCGAGCTCTCTTCATCATTGAACCAGCTTCTGCGGTAAGCTACTTTTTCCTTTTTTCCTTTCTATAATCGAATTTCAATTTCATAATCTAGGGTTTGTCGTTAATTTAATTGTCAGTATAGTCAATTTAGGGGTTCTTCTAAGCTGTATTATTGAACAATTTATTGCTTGTAATTACTGAGCTATGAATGATTTTAGTGAGCAATTTTGTTGATACTCTTAAGCGAGAAGAATTTTATGTGATTTTGGAGCCTAATTTGATAATTGAATCAAATTTGGTTGCTAGTGTGTTGCAAGATTTTATTTATAACCCTTATATGTTAGGATGAAAGTATAAAATTGGATCTTTTCTCCCTAAACCCAGGCGGTCGCCCCGCCGTTTTGGCACAGGGACGGGTAGAATTGGAATCGGAATTGAGATTATCTGCATTTTGATTGTTATCATTATTAATTGACAAGAATTAGTTCATTATTTGATATAAATTAATTGGAAGTCTGCAGTAATTGATGTTTTACAGTGTTATCACATTGTGTGTTTGATGAAACCGGATTATTTAATCTTAACCAAACACCAAAGCCAATGAATAAATATCAGAGTGAAGATGTAAAATAGGGTGGATTTGACTTTCTAAAATGTTATATTCTTGTTTGTGAAAAGAAATACTCTCTTTAATCCTCCTCTACTTCAAGCGAAATTTGAAATACAGAACTCCATGATAGTGAACAGAAAACTCCTCGATTGCAAGCATGTCAGCAAAATTCCCTCCATCACACAATTTTTTTAGTTTGTATGAAAGATTATTACTTTTTATGTTTATTTTTGATTTATTTAGTACGCAATCAGTGGTGCCCTACCACTCTTTAAGTCCTGGTTCCACCACTGCTTTCAACCATCTTTTGTCATGTATTTTCTCCACTTATCTATTTTGTATATTTTCTATTTTTATTTGAATTTTTTTGTTGATTTTTACTATCTTAGTCACATGTGAGGATTATGGATTTTGCCTGATAGGATGATTTTACTGTTGAAATCTTGTTGTTAAACATATTCTATTGGGTTTTTTGTTGACTTTGTTTTGTTGTTGTTATATGTCTGATTAGTCTATGCCCTCTGCTTAATTGTAGTTGAATAATCATATTATCCTCTTTCCAATATGTTACTCCCTCCGTCCCTTATCTACATGCCTATTTGCCATTTTCACGGGAATTAAAGAACTTAAAGATTCCTTAAAACCCATAATTGGGAAGTGCAAATGTGCATGTGAGGTTAGAGAGGGATAGAGAGAAAGAAAATGTAGTTGGTAATTATTGAAGAGATAGAGAGAGAAAGTGTTAGAAATGATGTCAAAAGTACAAAAAAAATAAAAGAAAATTGATGACAACTCATCAATAAAAGGGAATATTGTTAAAAAGTACATTCTTTAGATAGAAATATAGGCATATAGTTTTGAAACCCCCAAAAAGGAGAGTAGGCGTGTAGATAAGGGGTGGAAGGAGTATTGATTGAATAATATGTTTTGGGGTGATTTGTCTTTTTAAGGAGGGAGCAGAGTAGAAAAGGGCAATAAAGGGCATAATAAAGTTTTGTTTCATTGAATTAATTACTATATATAATCTATGAATTTGATTGAATAAGAAATTTGAGCTCTGGAGGAAATATTGGCAGTGTTGGATTAGAGGTCAAGTGAGAGAACTTGATCTGACATTTTAATACTTGAAGATGAAAAGAACCACAATACAAAAAATGCCTAATTGCACAATTAGAGTCGCACATCAACACAAATGCACAAGTCAAATTCTTACAGCCACCAAAAAAAAACTTTAGAAAACCACACATGACCAAATCAAAAATCAACTTATTCATACCAAAAATCTAAACAAAAGAACAAAAAACGAGGGAAAAATTAAAATACAAAAATGGAACTTGAAACGATGGCCTTTTAATATAATACTTGAACAAGATTTGAGAAAAAAATTTTAGTAGAGAAAATAACTAAAAAAAAGCCCTAGAAATTTATAAGTCAACTGGATTAGGTCATTTTGTTGGATGAGAAAATGGTGTATTAGGTTAGATTCTAACCCCCCTGATACGTTATGAAGTTTGATGATTAACATGGCCAATCATTCAATTTATTTTGGCATGAATCTGTTTCTGACCATTCTGTGTTAGGATGGAAAACAATAAAATGGGCTTTGTCTTCCTGTGTGCCTACCCTCCTGACATATCTTAGGATGGGTCTAAATTTTGAAGGAAGGTGAGCTGAGTGAGAGAGAGAGAGAGATAGATTATAAAAGGTTATATGAGAGGTAGATGAGTAGATAGAAGGGTTTAGGGGTAAAGGGGAGAAGGAAGGAATTCATTTTTTCGTTATTTGGATCACAATTGAGTCATTGGGAGATGGAAAGGGAGAAAAGAAATTGAAGAATTGGGAAGTGAAATTTAATCTTTTGTAAAACAATTCTTGCTATCCCAAATGATATCAGCCTTGATTAGTGCTCCAACAAAAGAAAGTGACAATAGTTAGATCCCTACCTTATTAACCATGTTTTACTAGCCCACCCTTGGAATGACTTGCACCTTAATTAAATTGGTATGATACTTGAGCTAGAACAAGTAAAATTAGATTTGTTAACTAACATGTCTGGACAGCAAACAGAGACAATACAACTGCACCATTTTGTCAACACAGGTGGAATGTGGAGCATTTGGGTTGTACCCCTGCTAATTGCTAGGTGCTTCGAATGCCACAGTTGTTGCTGCTGTAAGATCCAATTCCCACTTTCCAATCAGGGTGTATCAGTACATGTATTGTTTGATAAGAAATGAGGATTTGTTTACTTCTAATCCTTTTCCCCCTTTCCTTAGTCCAGTCCAATTATTGTCTATATAACGGTAAATAGATCCCATCCTTTCCCTCCTCTCTGCCCCTTCCATTCCCTCCACATTTTTTGATATAAAACCTCTTGATTGTTATATACTTTTTATTGCTTTTAGCAAGTAGTACTACATACATGAACTTAGAGGAATCTCCTTGGGCTTATTTTGCACATTTAGTTGACTCTTTCTTTTTAGGTTTCAATGAATTCGTTTCCCTAGTATGGGCATTTCTTTGATATTGGAGTACAAGTGTAGGTCAATGGAGGGTAAACATTGCTAATTATTTTATTTTACTGTATTATTTGATATGCATATTTGTTTATTGATTTGAAAAAATGATGACACAGGAGTTGTGGTAGATCTTAGAATCATAACCAAATTGCGTACCATCATTGTAGCTTTTAATTATATGAGGTTTATTGTGTTTTCATGTCTCTATTAAATCAATTTTAACTCACTGAAGATTTTGATAGGAAAACATATTTGTATTGTATTTACTTTGTGTTAGTTTTGGTTAATTCTCTTGGAAACGAAGAAATTACTACTTCCCCATTGAGGAAATATTAGATTTGTCCTTGATATGCTTGAAAATTTAGTTTGATAACTTGAATCAAGATTCCTTTTTTTTTTTTTTTTACTCTTTTTGGAGGAATTAGCATTCCTAATACTTGTGTATGTGAAAAAAATTTCAATTTGCCAACAGTAGGCAATTTGGTTTTAATGGTTTTGCTAACCATTTAAATAAATCCATTTTTATGAGGTGGGAACCATTGATTCGTAAAATTAGAAGTCTTTAACAAATATTATTGTGATAAAAAAACGAAATCTCTTCTTTTCTTCTTTGTTACCAATCTTTTGCCTGGCTTAAGCTTTGATGCTTTGTCGTGATTTTTGCTTAGTACTAGTATATCTTAAGGGTGAAGTGTTAGAATGTTTTGATGGTAGCCTTTTTTATTTGAATTGTATCATGTATTAATTTTTTAAGGAATACAGAGAGTTGATAAACCAGACTCCTAGTTTTTTAAAGACGCCTTCCTGTTGGCTGTTTATTTATGTTTGAAGGATTTTCTTAATCATATGGCTAACAGGATTATAGGAGTTCTTACAAAGACAACCTCTAGAGCCTAAACTGGCCCATAGGGCTGTATATGTCTTCATATACTCTGCTTGTGGCACTTACTAATTCTCATATTTGAATGTTGTTTACTTTTGATGGAAGGCTATTTTGTAGTTTGTCTAGATAACTCTCCACTTTTTGGGCTGTGGGTGATGCGTACCTTCTTTGGTAAAGATGACATAAATAGGCTCTCAATTATGTTCTATGATGCATGGAAACGTGAAAATTCATCGGCGTATCGTTTCAGAAACGTTTTACGTTTTGAAACGCGTTTCGAAACGCATTTGAAAGTTTCCTGGCTTTGTGAAACGTGTCACACCATTTGAAAGTTTGGAAACCTTGGGGAAACTTTATCAAGGGTATAAAAAAGCGTTTTTCCTTTAAAAAAGCAATTAAACCTTGGTGATTTGGGGTTTATTTTTGTTTTAATTTGAGAAAAAAGGGAAATCTTACAAATTACCGTTATCGTCATTGTTCATCTGCGTGACTCCCGTATGGCCGTATGTAGAATATTAGGAGTTGGAGGAAAAGCCTAAACTACTTTGTCTTATTATGATGAACAAATTTTAGTTTTTATTCGCAATTGATGATCTTTAATTGTCTGCATATATATTCTTATTGCTTGAAAGAAGAGAAATATGAATGATAGTGGGGACATTGTATTAGAAGACAATTTTTTAGAAAAGAGAAAAAGTTTGGTCCTAATCAATTGGTATTTTATTCTAAGTAAATATCTTTATTTATTTATTATTTTTTTGTTTCTCCATTTCTCATAATCTGATAATATTCGTTCCTCGATTCCCGTTTCCTCGTTTCCGTGCAACCTATATTATGTTCTATGGTGCTAAATATTAATGTTATTTGCACCATTGTACTTGTATCAGAATGCGTCTTTTGTAAAGGTGTATGTCGATCTATACTCCATGAGAAGCATTCCTTATTTTGAATATGGTTATGCTGTTGGGATAGCTGTTTATGTGCTGGTATGGTTGCATGCTTGTTCTAATCCGAAATAGATTAATTGGTATTATTAAGTCCCCTGGAGGTAGACTGGTAGACAGGTAGCTAAAGACTTATGCTTGCCTTTTGAATTATACCATTGCAAATATGTCCTTCAGCCTTCACATTATCTTACTATCAGTGCCTATGTGGTGGTTTGAGTTGGGTTTATCATTTACATTGACTCTATTTTATCACTCCTGAGTCCTGACCATTCTTAATGTCTTTGGATTTACCAGCGAGGCTGTTATGTAATTGTCTATGCATCTCCCTTAACCTGGATTTCCTTTTGCTGAAGAAAATGAGTTTGACAATATCAGATGTTTCACATTATATTTAGCAATAGTGTTTGGGATTACATTATTCTTCTTAAGTCTTTTTATAGTTCTATGATGAGTAACGCATTTACCTCTGATCTTTCCCCTAGGCTGGAGCCTTGTTGTTAGCATTGACATATTGACTATGATGAATAAGGCATTTACATTTGATCCTTCCCCTAGGCTGGAGCCTTGTTGTAGGCATTGACATATACTGACTATGATGAGTAAGTCATTTTATATCTGATCTTTCCCCTAAGCAGGAGCCTTGTTTTTGGCATTGACATATTGATATAATGTGGTAGCTCTTCGTAACCTATAACCTAACCAGATTGCCCAGGAGTTAACCTATATACAGACATGGGACTTTTTACAAATGCAGCATGTTGCTAGAGTAGCTTTAGTTCTGAGCCCTTTGCAACCCCTTAAAACTCATCATGGCTAACTTGATATTGCAAATGATATTGAAATTTTCAGGTTGCTGTCTTTTCTTCTGTTTTGCTTTTTAGTGAATAAATTAATTAACAGCATTAATTCTTCACAATTTCCTCCATTTGCTTATAATTTGCTCACTTGGCTTTACATCAATACCAATGTATCCCATACATTATGTGAGGGAAAAGGTGAGTTGTGATAGTGACATGCATGCAGTGTATGTGAGAGTAAAGTGGTGGTCCATTGTCTAAACATGGTAAGTTTAACGAGTGTAGATTTAAGAAGAAATTTTCAAACAAGCAAAGTTAGTAAATTACAACAACAACAAATAACAGGGGGAGCATGCTACAGGCCTATAGCTCCGTATTTAAAAAAAAGAAAAAAAAAAGAAAAAAAAGAGTAAAGCTAGTAAATTAAAAAGTACATTGCTTGCTTTGTTTGGAAAGATGGCATTTTAATTTCCATTGGTATGGACGTATAGTAGCACTAACACAACAATGGTGATTTTTTTTATTATTCTATTATTATTTTTTTTCCTGTAACATTTTTACAGCAATTGTTGCATTGTTGTGTGTGCGTGCGTGTTGGGGGAGAGGGGGGGGGGGGGTGAGGGAGAATATTCATGCCTTTAATGGTTTTCATATGAAATTTGTGAAATTTTTTAGCTAGATCCGGAGCTTTTTTTTTTATACATATATAAATAACAACTAGGGTTTATATGGTTCTACGTGTTTTGTTTTTATTACTAGGCTGTATCAATCCATTGAAATCATTTTCCTTTTGAATTTTGTTCTGCAGATATTGACACCTAGCCCTACTGCCCATGTGATGGAGATAACTAGTGAGACAGTGATTAAAAAACCGAAGCGGTTGACATCGGTCGTCTGGAATCACTTTGAAAGAGTAAAGAAGGCTGATATATGTTATGCTGTTTGTGTACATTGTAATAAGAGGCTAAGTGGGTCAAGTAATAGTGGAACAACACATTTGAGAAATCATTTGATGCGATGTTTGAAGCGATCCAATTATGATGTTTCTCAGCTGCTTGCTAAGAGAAGGAAGAAGGATACCACCGTAACTCTTACAAGCTATAACTTTGAAGAAGGGCAGCCAAAGAATGAACATATTCCAGTTGCCGCTATTAAGTTTGAGCCAGGGCCTAAAAGGGAAGAGGTTATTTCTATTGGGAGTACAAAGTTTGACCAAGAGCGAAGTAGGATGGATCTTGCTAAGATGATCATATTACATGGTTATCCTTTGGCCATGGTTGACCATATTGGCTTCAAAGTTTTTGTGAAAAATTTACAGCCAATGTTTGATATTGCAACAAACAGTTCACTTGAGCTGGACTGCATTACCATATATGAGAAGGAGAAGAAGAAAGTTTATGGGACCATAGGCAAACTAAGTGGCAGGATTAGTGTTGCTGTTGATTTGTGGAATTCACCTGAGAATGCTAGATACTTGTGTCTTACGGCCCACTACATTGATGAAGAATGGAAATTGCAGAAGAAGATACTAAATTTTATCATGATTGATGCTGCTCATACTGAAGATATACACTCTGAAGTGGTTATCAAATGTCTGATGGATTGGGACATAGAGAGGCGCCTTTTTTCCATGACATTTGGTGATCTTTTCACCAGTGATGATATTGTTTCCAGAATTAAAGACCATTTATCTCAAAATAGGCCTCTTCTTAGTGATGGTAAGCTGTTCGATGTGCGATGTGCAGCACATGCTCTGAAGTTGCTGGTTGAAGATACTATGGAAGTACTAAGTGAGGTGATACACAAGATTAGAGAAAGTATTTGTTATGTGAAAAGTACGCAAACAATGCAGGGGAAGTTCAACGAATTAGCCCAACAAGCTGGAATAGATAATCAGAAGAATCTACTAGCTGACTGTCCTACACGGTGGAACTCGACATCTGTGATGCTTGAAACAGCACTAACATACAGAGCCGCTTTCTCTCTATTGCAGGAACATGATTCTGCCTATACAGTAGGTTTATCGGAAGAAGAGTGGGAATGGATGAACTCTATTATGGGCTTCTTGAAGCTTTTTGTTGAGATAACCACTTCCATTACCAGCAATAAATCTCCTACATCGAACATATACTTCCCGGAAATTTGTGATGCTCATTTACAGCTTATTGAGTGGTGTAAGAGCTCTGATGAATTTGTCAGATCTATGGCTCTGAAAATGAAATCTAAGTTTGAAATTTATTGGAATAAATGCAGTTTGTCATTAGCCATAGCAGCTATCTTAGATCCCAGGTTCAAGATGCCATTGGTGCAGTATTACTACCAGGAAATTTATGGTAGTAGTGCAGATGACCACATTAAAGAAGTCTCTGATGGGGTCAGGGAGCTTTTCAACGAATATATGATTGGTTCTACATCAGTTTCATTTGATCATGGTGTTGGAAGTAGTTCCAGTGGTATGGGGAGTGACTCTAGGGATAGATTAAAAGGCTTTGACAAATTCCTGCATGAAACTTCACAGGGTAAAAATTCTGTTTCAGACTTGGATAAATATTTGGAGGAACCAGTCTTTCCTCGTAATTATGATTTCAATATTTTTACATGGTGGAAAGTTCATACGCCAAGATATCCTATCCTTTCCATGATGGCCCAAGATGTTCTTGGGGTTCCCATGTCAACTGTCACATCTGAGCTAGCTTTCAGAACTGGAGGCAGGGTTCTGGACCAGTATCGTAGCTCTCTAAGTTCAGATACTGTGCAGGCTTTGATATGCACACAAGATTGGCTGCGAACAGAAGTAGAAGGTATTATATATGATTAAATCATGTTCTTTTAAAGTGTCCAGTTTCTGTTTACTGACTGCTATTTTGTTTCTGTACTAGAATCCAGCCCAAGTATTAGTGCTGTGCCTTTGTGCATTGAAGCCATCTAATGCTCATACTATGGTATGTGTTTCAACTTGGTTTCTTTCCAATGCTATTGCTTGGACTTGTTGTGATTACTCTCAACCCCACCCCTCACCCCCCCCCCCCGGGCCCCCAACTCCTATTGAAGTCTCGTGCTGTTGGTGATTGTTGCTAATTTTTTGAATAATATGATTGAATCGCCTTATCTTTAGAATTGTAAATGCAATGCTAAGAACATACTTTCATTTGTAGGGTCAGATGGCACAATGCGTACAAATCTGCTGTAGGTGCACAATTCAGATTTGCTTGTCTGGACTAAACTTCCGATGCTATTAGAATTTAGATTTAGGTAATTGCTTTCTGCGGGTGGGAAGCGATTTGTACAAATTGCTCCTTTTTTCTAACCATTGTGGAGAAAGAAAATTGAATTAGCATTCTAAAAGAAAATTTTAATTTGATTATATCTTTCTTTTCTCGTGCATTGTGATCATGTTATTACTGGGTATAAGTAACTACCCAGAAAGACCAGACGAGGTGCAGCTTTTAATAAACGCAATATATTACATGAATACTCAGTATTTGTTTGCCATTTTCCAATTACTTAATTTCTCTTTTATCCATCTTAAGTCTTGCTACTCCTTCCACCACATACATGCAACTTTTTTTTTTGTTTTGTTTGTTTTGTGTTTCTGGTCGCCATTTCACAAAATAAAAAATGTGCCCTTTCAATTAAAAATTAAAAAAAGTTTTTTTTATTTTTTACAAAAAATAAAATAAAATAAAGATAATAACATTACTACTTTTACAAAAAAAAAAAAAAACCCTATTTTAACGTCAATAGTAAATTTAATATAAAGTTAATTTGTTGTTGTAGTTGTTGTCGTCTTTTTTTTATTTTTTATTTTTTTTTCTATAGAAAACATATAAAGATGTAAAGAGAAGACAATTGTTTAGTTGTGAGAGCTTCTCCATTGCTAAGCAATTCCCTTTTGTAGCTAGTTTATTCTCCAATGGTTAGCGAGTAACTTGTTATTAAAATGAGCTCAATATCCTTAACCAGTTAAGACATACACGCTATAATGCGTTTGTGACTTTGTGTGCAACATAGAAGGTTTTATGTCTTCATTAAGTGCAATTACTAGATATATAAATGGATCTAATTATGGAGATAAAGAAGTTCGTTTATTTGAGTCGCCGTTTTATCATAGCTAGAGGTACTAACGATCTTTGGGCTATTAAATAGGCTAAAATCCAATTGTACAGACCCTATAAGCTCACACAAAGGGCTAGATTGAGTATAAGAAGAAGAGGCCCATGATGGGCCTTCTCTCTCTAGGTGGTCGGCTATATAGGTAGTATTGTACATTGCAGGGTTTGGGCTTTGCTTCCTAATTTAAATATAATATGATTATAAATAGACAGGGTGCCTAGAGTTGAACTTGAACATAACATTCAGTGATCATTAGAACAAATCCTAATTAGCAAACACAAGCCAACCCCTCTCTCTCTATCTCTCTCTCACGTCCGCACTCCTCATTGCACCGGTGGTGGTCGATTTTCCGCAAAGGTGGTGATTGTGGTGCATTGTTCCTTCATTTGACCTATATAGCATTGGTGGACGGCTTGTTCGAATCCCGTGGACTAAGTAGAGGAGCAACGCTTTGAGCTCTATTCTCTCCCTAATTGATAGTCAATCGCAACGTGGAAATCACGCTTCAAAGGTATAATTATGTGATTTCTCTTGTGTTATGCATGTGATCCTATTTTATGTGCGTATGAATGAGATACATGAAATTCCGCTTAGAGTACTTGAATCCCTACAGTGGTATCATTTAGCCTCTTGCATGAACGCATTTGATCGTAATGATACGATTATTTTGAGGTCTATGTTCATAATTTTAGAATCTATTAAGAGGGATAAATAATTTAATTATGGGTCAATTATTATTTTAAATGTGATTTAATGTTTGGAATTGATTAAATGTGATTAGAATCTATGAGTCATACTAGTCTATATATAGCATAATAATAATATCATATATTATAAAATTGACACATAATAAAATCACTCAACATGCTTGCCTCAACTAAATTATCGTATCTTCTTAATTAAAGCAACAGAATTCCTAAATATCATATATTTTTTATTCCTAAAATATCTCATGTTTTTAATTCGTAATTAAATATCGTATATTATTTATTAACATCTATAAAATATCATATATTCTAATTTGGTATGAGATAGAATCAAATCTTATTTTAATTTAAAAAGATAAATCATATTTATTCTCCATGATTATCCTAACTTATTTAGGAGTTTCTATCATAAATACTAGTCAATCAAATAATTTTAAGATCAATTTTTTTCCTAAAATAATTATGGGACAATCAATTATTTAATCAATTATTAATCATTACCATTAATGATAATTATTCCATAATTATTTTAGAAAATTTTTAATTTTAAAATTATCTAATTAGCTAATATTTAGGATAGAATCTCCTAAATTAGTTAGGATAATCATTGAAAATAAATATGATTTATCTTTCCAGATTACAATAAGGTTTGATTCTATCTCACACCAAATTTAGAATATGTGATATTTTATAGATGATAATGAATAATATATGATATTATCTTATTACGAATTAAAAATATGTTTTTAGGAATTGCGTTGCCTTAATTAATAATATTTGAATTTTAGTTTAGGCAAGCATGGTGAGTGATTTTATTATGTAACAATTTTATAATATATGATATTACTATTATGCTATATACAAACTAATATGGTCTATAGATTCTAATCACATTTAATCAATTCCAAACGTTAAATCACATTTAAAATAATAATTGACCCATAATTACATTAATTCTCCCTCTTAATTGATTATAAAATTATGAACACAAGCCTTAAATTAATCTTATTATCATGATCAAATGCGTTCATGCAAGAGGCTAACTGATACCACTGTAGGGATTTAAGTACTCTAAGCGGAATTTCATATATCTCATTCATATGCACATAAAACAGGATCACATGCATAACACAAGAGAAATCACATAATTATACCTTTTGAAGCGTGATTTCCACGTTGTGATTGACTATCAATTAGGGAGAGAATAAAGCCTCAAGTGTTGCTCTTCTACTTAGTTTTATCAGGCGTGAATAAAAAAAAAACCTTTGATGCATGATTATATAAGCCCCAAGCGTATGCTATATAGAGTTGATAGGGAGTGAGTGAATACTTACTTTTACTAGGTGTGATGCCCTTAGGTTAAGTAAAAGCTGGACAAATTTTATTGATTGTCTTAATTTCATGGGCTGAATAAAATTAATATGAAAAGTGATTCATAATGTAAGTATTGGGTCAAAATTAGACCTAATCATTTTAGGCCTGATTTAATTTTAAGCAGAAATTTTTGGCTAATTTGTTTTTCCCATGAGCCTTGGACAATATGGACATATATTTTTAAGCATTTTGGTTTTTTAGGCCGGTTCCAAAAACTCACTAATCACATTTCAATAATGCTGGGTTTCGGTGTTACTTTTTGGCCCAAAAATTGGCCCCGACCCAACCCAACCAAGCGAGTCAACTATTTTACCCTTGTCCTGGACTTAAACACCCTTTGATCAGCTCTAGTTAAAATGTGACTTTAGTGCCTTCTAATTTTTTTTTTCCCAATATTATAGTAATCTTTATATTCAAAATAAATTAAATTATTATTGTTAGTATTGCCTTTGTAGCAAAATAAATCTTTATTTAGTTTTAAAAACGTTAAAAATCAAGGTTTTAGAACATATCTAATTGTTTTTAGAATAACATATATAAGTTTTTGGAATATGGATTTAAAAAGTCTAATAACATGAAATTTAAATAAGTTTAATTTCAAACAGAATGATGAAATTTGTCAATAATTTCATTGGTTTAAAGAACATCACTGATTTCCTTTAATTAAAGATAAATAAGCTTACAACTTCTTGATCAATGGAGTATAATTAAGGATGGAGCTAACAAACAAAGGAGATTATTTGAGAAGAATACTAATAGGTGATGGAAACAAAATTATATATTAGAGCTATTTAATGAATCGAATTTTAAGGGCAGGTTAACATTTACTAAAAATTTCAGTTCAGTTCATTTCAGTTCAGCTCCAATCAGTTCAGTTCAGTTCAGTTCATCTCCAATCAGTTCAGTTCAGTTCAGCTCTTAATTTCCCTCTCACATAAAATATTCATTTCAGCTCAATTCAGTTCAGTTCTGTTTAGTTCAGCTCCAATCAGTTCAGTTCAGTTCAGTTCAACTCCAATCAGTTCAGTTCAGTGTGAACAAACCCTAAGTCATAAAATTGCTCTAAGTTATCTCATATAATGTCCTATACATATCACTAAATGCATAGTCGCTGACACTTAGCATTCCAAAAATTCGCCAAATGTTGTTCCACATACAATGACAACCAACCACATGCTGATACATGGTATATATATATATATATATATATATATATATATATATATATATTTGCAAGATACATGATAATTGAGTAAAACTAGTTCAATGCATAGGTTGAACTTTTTATCAAAATCATATGAGTAATTATTATAATTACTATATTTTTTGCTAAAATACTTATTATAATATAAGATATTCTCTTACAAATTATTAATAAGTTAAACTAATAAATTATATCTTTCCTTTTTGCAGAATATTGATCTAATGTGAATGAAAGTAAAATGCATTATGATTTGAATAGTTAAAAAAAAAATTGGGAGATTGATTAAAAAAATGATAAAAAAAACTAATGCAACCCTTCATGAAAAAAATTAAATGAAAATAAAATAAATAGTTTACAAATTAAATTATAAATTTAAAAACTAATAAAAATGACAAATTATCTCAACTTTCATAAATAAAGAAATATCTAAATGTTCTTAAAAATTATGGACAAATAAGAATGTGAAAAGTGGCATACGAAGACAAAAAGTTTCAATTATTAAATATTAGTATAGATTCGGGAATAATGATAAAGATAGATGTTAGTTTTATATTTGATAAATTTCCAATAATATTGCATAGAAGAAAATTAAATCTTAATTTTTTTTATACGGGAAGAAATAATATCATTAATGAATACTCATATGACATCTACAATAATAATAAAGATTTGTAAAATTACGAATTTAGAGAAATTAACATAACTTGTACAATCAAAATCATAACTAATTTGCATATTTGCATAGCCCACACACACTCTTCTGCTTCAAACTTGACGCGAATAGTGATTTTCAAAGTCATTACATCTTTCGAAGTAGAGACCTTTGCAATATGCACTAATGTTTTGATCATACAGTTGATGACAAATCTTAAATCCATATAAATCCACATCACCTTCCTTATAATTATCAGAATCCTAAAAATTAAATCCCATCCATAGATGAGAATTAAAATCCCAAAAAATTGAAAAAAATCCAAAAAAAAATTAAGAGAAACTCTCACAAATGGAGAGAACAAAGAAAAGCAAAACAAAACAAAAAGTAGCAAGAAATTAACTGAATAAAATTAAAGAAAAAGAGTCGGAAATAGTCTAATTTTCGAGG